AGCTTCCGTTTTCTTTTGCATCATGTCAGTTCTGATCGTAGATTAGACGGACCTTCCGACTACTAGTTTCCGAAAGGGATGATGGTGAGTATATTCGGGTTCCTTCATTTTCCTATCATACCACCATGACAGGCTGGGGGGGTCCACCTAATTTATAGCCCCCTAAACCCTCCTCACACCAGGACTCCTCCGGAATTTGGAGAAGCAAGATCTGCTCTTGAATGCGCGAGTGTCCTTTGGCTGAGTGTAAGCTTCGGGGTAAGAGTTGGGATTTAGGGTTTAGGGTTTAAGGGTTTAGGGTTTAGGGTTTAAGGGTTTAGGGTTTAGGATTTAAGGGTTTAGGGTTTAGGGTTTAGGGTTTAAGGGTTTAGGGTTTAAGGGGCACCTTTAAAGAGTTATATTGGGTTCTAGGGGTTATATGGGGTTTAGGGGGTTAGGGGTACCTTTAGGGTTTAGGATGTTAGGGCTACCTTGAAGGAGTTCTAATGGGTCATAGAGGTTAGAAAGGGTTTGGGGGTTCCCCAAATAGGGGTACCTTGAAAGAGTATATAGGGTGTATACAGGAATTATACAGGGGTACATGGGTTTAGGGTCTAGGGTTTGTCCGAATGAGGGGTGCTTTCTAGGGGGTCCCAAGAATGAGGATTACAGCATTTTGGGGTCTATCTTGGGGTCCCCCTACTTAGGGAAACCCTAAACCCTAAACCCTTAAATCCTAAACCCTAAACCCTAAACCCTAAACTACCAGTTCAAGGTGCTAGTCTTAGGCCTTGGTGTTCGGGATTCAGGGGGTGAGGCCTTCGAGTTCAAGGTTGGAAGCATGGACACTTGGGATCTGAGTTTTCAGGATTTGCAGGGTCTTTAGTCTTTATGCTGGCTTTCGGGTTTTCTGCTAAGCCCTGAGCCCTGAACCCCAAACTATACCTCTCAGCCCTTGACCTCTACTTGGGAGTTTCCAGACATAGGGGGACCCCAAAATTTGGGGTCTTAGCCCAATGGACCCCAAAAAGGAACCTCAAATCCTAGGGCCGCCCAGACCTTGGCGCCCCCTTGCCAAGCCTTCCTGGGTCCTAGGCGGCCTTTGTCAAGTTTAGGGTTTAGAGTTCAGGGTTTAGAGTTTAGGGTTTAGGGTTTAGGGTTTAGGGTTCAGGGTTTAGAGTTTGGGGTTTAAGGAGTTTAGGGTTTCGCGTTATCCCTTCAGAACCCATCAGGGGTTAGAAACCTCCACGTCGAAGATGCTGAGGTTAGCTCCTGAGGGGGTTGAGCAAAAGGCGTTGTCGACAGAGAGATGTTCTGCTGAGTTGACTTTTTCCCTAGGCTCTTTGAATCCGGTACTGCACGACAGTTTGGCCCGGCCCGCTGCCCTCGATGAAACAAGCCTCCATCCGACCGTGAGGCAATCAAGTTTGCGAAGAAATCCACCCGACTACTCTGCCTTCATACCGTATCTGCGTTGATGAACTGCGTTTGAGCAAGATGCTGCATCCTCTTACTCATCATCAATTTGTTGCGTTTCACATGCCCTCCAATCCGGTCGAAGGTAGATTGATAGCTAAATTGGTAAATGACCTCTCTGTGGCTGGTTCATGTCGCTTGCGTTGTTTGTATGAGGTTTCTAACGAATCCAGTCCTAGCTTGTGGTGACGCGACCTGAACCCACTTGCTTGAACATTGTGAGAAACACGGTACCGCCCCTGCGGGCTAGTTGTGAAGGAGACTATGCGCATCATTCACGAGGGGGTGGAGTACATGGCGTTTTACACGGAAGCGAAGATCATTACACACGATGCCGAGTACACTTTTCGCCGTGTTGACCCTCGAGGCCCATCCAGATCTCAGCCGCGGGCCGGGCGAAAGTCCCGTGCACCAGGACGAGCCCGAGACTTGTTCCCTAAATGGGGATTGGTCTAAATTCCCTATAATACGGGGTCCTATATTTGGGTTCCCATTATAATACGGGGCCCTATATAAGTTTCCCCCCATTTTGGGAACAGTAATTTAGGGAAACTACCAAATCCTAAACTAGTGGAGGGCTTGCAGCGGCCCTCAGCTCTTGGGACATCCGTATGGGACAGGGGACAGGGACAGTACAGGACCTATGCAGGGATCTTGTAGGGATGAACCTCCCCCAGCCTAACATAGAACCCCCCAAGATTCAAGATTATTTTGCGGCGATGGTCGATCTCCCCTCCACCTTTATTCTATGATAGTCGTCTTCTGGGAACACTTGTTTTCTTTTTAGGGGAGCGGCTTATATGGTGCTTCACCTCAATAGGCTTGAACACCCCAAGCCCTACACCCAAAAGAGGCTTGTCGTCTCAATCGGAGTTGAGAGTTTGCGGTATGCTTACTTAACGACTGCCGGTGCGCGACTTTTCTGTTGGTTGAAAACCTTAGCCTTATCCCTAAATTGCGGAGGTATGTCAGGATAAACGACACTTGTTCTACCGCCAAAATTTGCAAGTTATTATGATTGTCATGGTTGCGTGGATGTGGGTGTAGAAGGCCCTTGACCCTAGACCTTTACCCAAAACCTGAACCCCTGCCCTAAATCCTAGACCCTAAGCCCCAGTCATTCGCGCTTGGAGAGACTCACTGAAGGCAGCCAGGCAGCAGGTGAAACTTCGATCCAGCCCCGAATCTTCTGGATCATACGGGTCCCCTTGAACATGATCAGATGGGCATAGGGTTATATTATCTTGGGTCCAGGGTTTAGGCAGATTTTCCCAATAATGGACAATTAGCTGGAAAAGAAAATGGAAAATGACGTGGAAATCGGTATAATATTGGGGTTTATAGGGTTATATACGGGGAAAGGAAAAGGCAATGGAGACTATTGTATTTCGATAGCCCTCTCTTACATGTGGCTGTCCAGAAAGGTCCAAAACTTATGGCTTCCTCTACGCCGGATTTGACAACAAGCGCCTGCGCATGTGAGCTACTGTCAATATTAAGCGTGCTACGGCCCTAAACCCTAAACCTTAAACCCTAAACCTGAAGGGTGGACAATGGGGTCGGTTTGCTAGTTTAGTATGGTTCCTAGTATATTGCCGAATAGGAAGCCATGTCCAGGAACTATATGGGCTCTAGTCTAAACTCCTTAAAGGGGGTTATGTAATATAAGGTTTAGGGTTTAGGGTCGGGTTTAGGGTCTAAACTCCTGAAAAAGGGGAGCATTACAGGGCTTTTGAAGGGGGATACTAGGACTTTAGATTATAGCTCATATGGGAAGTGTTGCTGTAGTCCATGCAATGCTTCAAGGCTTCTAGGCCGTTTGCGATGGGGTGCCCAAAGATTTCATCGAAAAGGGTCAAGGGAATAGCATCTTCCCAGATCTCCCGAGATAGTACTCCATTTTGGAGATCCTAGTAGCAGTCCAGACCCCAAATCCCAAACCCCAAAACCAAGACCTAAAGCTGAAAGCCAAAATCTAAAAATCCTAAACCAAGAACCTAAACCCCAAACCCTAAACCACACCCGAAAAGCAACCACTTCGGGAGGGCCCAGGTAGGACGGTCCCAGAGATGACGTCAGTTCTTATTTGAGAGTTCCCTCAAATAGGATTACCAGGGAACCCAGGGTCTAGGGGTTCAGGGTTGAGGGTTTAGGGATCTAAACCCTAAACCCTAAACCCTAGGGTCCAGGGTCCGGGGATTGGAAGGGATCATAGGGGTAGCTGTTTGGGGTCAGAGGTGGGGATTTGCCCTCGTCTGGTGTAAGGGCCCCCCCATGTTGTAACATGCTGCCCGGAATTTTGCATAAAGCCCCGAAGTGGTTTGGTTTGGAACTGAGAGGAATTGGTAAGCAGGATATCAATGGGGTGATCATAATTGGGGCTAGTCTTTTTATAACCTACTTACTAAGTTCCCGGAGCCTGCAAGTAGCACCCTAAACCTTGAACTGTGTGTTTGAGTGGTAGTTTCAATTGTCTCTTCTAGTCCTGCAAGCAGTATTGAGACCCGGCTGATATAGACTCTGTATACAATTGTCCTTCGTATAGCGACTCCCGAAAAGGGACCCCTGAAACAATTAGGACACCACCATGTAGTCGCTACTGAAATGGGCCTGACTACTTAGACTGGGGTTCAGGGTTTGGGGTTTAGGGTTGTAATGACGCAGCACCCTAAACCCTAAACCCTGAAATCCTACATGCTCCTAGATGCCCTCAACCTTGGGACCTGTGGTATTCTAGTATAACAAAGACCATGCAGGATATAGTTCCCGTTAAGTAGATAGAACATGGGGTATATGGGGATCATTGTAATATGCCCAAACTCATATTCTATCTACTTAAGGGGGACTACTTTTTAGTATAAACAGTACGTATACATTCCAGGTCATAGGCCGGGCGCCAAAACCCGAAACCTCCTGCAGCACAGGGACGTGGAATGCAATGGGGCTTCCCTGCGAAGGATTCTGTAAGTCTAAGTGTGAGACACCTCCACATGATCTGTTTTTTTCCATTACTTGCAGTTCTTCACTTGGTATCCATATTTAGATGTTTTTGCTTCGAGAGTGCTAACTTCATGATGAAGATTTGACCTGTCCTCAAGGGAGACTCCAACAATTTCTTCATCATCCTTATATACTGCTGTGTAGATTATGCCCCTCCCCCAACAGATTCGGGTCCTGCTATGGGGCTTCGAAAACGAGTTGCTAGCATGCTGAGACGTTTCCTTCTGTGAAGGTGTTGATCCGCAAGTAGGGTCGAAAGGCGATCTGAACTCCGAACCCAAAACCGTAGCTGAACCCCAAGTAGCCCCCAACCCAAACCCCAAACCTTTGTGCCACTCCCAGGTAGCATGGGTCCATATCAAAAGCAGCGCCCGAAAACGCCTACCCAGTAACAGTAGTTGTTTAGGCTTTACTTTGGGGAGGGGGAACTAACGAGAATGTAGAAAAGTATCTTAGAAGATGGCTTTTTGTAGTGGTTTCGTGGGGTACCCCCACTTCCTAAGCCTTTAGCCCTAAACCCTCAAGCCTGACGAAAAGTAGTGAAGGTGCTACTACTTCGAGTGCATCTACATGTTCCGAAAGCTCTGCTTCGAGTTAACGACCAGGCGCCCATGGTCACGGGTGATAGGCAGGGTTGAGGGTCTGGAGGTTAAGGTAAATCAGGATATGCAGTGGTATATGGAGGCATATAGGGGTATTCCAAGACTATGCAGGGCTGTAAAGGGACATATAGGGGTATGTAGTAGTATACAAGGCCATGGACTTCTTCCGTGCAGTCTCATTGCGGAGTCATTCTTGCTTTTGACCGGAATGGGACCCTGAGCACTATACCAGACATTAAGGCTTGGCCCTGAAACCCCAGAGATGTTACAATCCTATAAACCGGCACTTAAATCCAGTTTTCATTTCATTGCCCATTTTCTTTTCCAAATCATTCTCCACTGTTGGGCCCTATATCCCCCATGAAATATTGGTATGCGGCTTTGGGGCCTGGGGCTTCCATTTCAGTTTCCATGTTCTTGTCCATTTGATTCCCTACGGCCTCAAACCCTAACAATATCCCAAGCCCAAAAAAGTCTCTAGGCACTGGTTTATCTGGGGTGAGCCCTGCAGATCATTCTACGAACAGGGCTTTCTTCAGGAATTAAGTGCCACAACTCATGGTTATGTCAGGCTTCAAACCCTGAGCTTTAGATCTAAAACCTACGCCCTAAAGCTTAAATCGAAAAAACTCTAAATCTAAAACCCGAAGCTCCAAACTCCAACAATCCCAAGCACTAAACCCTAAACCCCTAAACCCTAAACCCTATAAACCCTAAAAACTCTGTAAACCCTTCGAATGACCCTTTGCCTGAGAGGCTGCAGGGTATGACTTCCGAGGATGAAGCCACGTTGGGCAGGATCCAGACCCGTGCCACATTTATCACATCATATGGAGTTGTAGGGTTTGGGGGTCTAAGGTTTAGGGTTTAGAGTTTAGGGTTTAGAGTTTAGGGTCTAGGGTTTAGGGCTTAGGGTTTGGGGTTTAGGGTTTAGAGTATAGGGTTTAGGCTCTAGGGTGTAGGAGTCCCCGGAACGAGGGGTCTTTTTTGGGCGGGGTCTCCATTTGAAGGCGTGTAGCAGATTGGGATCTCTATTGGAGATCCTCATTTTGGGAAAAGACCATCTGCCATTTCAGGCTCGTCTTCCTGCAGCTATAAGTGAGTAGTATTTTATTTGGGCATACTATGGTACCCAATATAAAGTAAGATTCTATCCTCCTTTTGGGTATAGCATTTTATATAAGGAATATTATCTTACTGGGCTTAGCCACCAAAATAGCGTTACTCAAGAAGTTACTAAGTCCCATGAACCTCCAAGCCCTAAATCCAAAACCCTGAACCCAGAGGGAGATATGGGGTTTCGGGGATTCCTATAATGAAGACTATAAAGCTACTACAGAAAATGAGCCCTTAACCCTAAACCCTTAAGCCTAAAGCCTAAAACCTAAATCCTGAACCCTGAACCCTAGGCCACGGCGCCTAAGCCTGAAAGCTTCCCGTACTTGGGAATCCATGGGCAGTTATAGTTTATGTACAAATCTACTTATACTCCGGTCATAAGTATAAGCTTAATGATACAGTTATAGTTTGGTGATAAAGAGGTTACTTACCCATGGAGTTCTGCAGTTCCAAGTATGACCCAAATACCTTTTTGAAGCCCTGAACCCTAAAGTCTTTGGCACCTGTCTGGGTCCTTAAAAGGGGTTATATAAGGGATTATTACAGGATCTTCTAAGCCTAGCCTCCCATCTATGCCATCCCTCAGCTGCTCTAGCAACACGAGACAATGGTGCAAAAACTCGCATGTGTCATGCTGCTCTCCGACTCTGGGGAAACCTTGAAAGATTAATTGAAACCCTAAAAGGTTTGGGGTGTAAAGAGGTCTATTATGGGTACCCCTTTGTAAAGAAGAACGCGGAGGTAGCAGCCTGCCCAGCGTTGTGCTTGGCTCATGCGAAGCGGAGGCATTCAAGCATCGGCCTGTCCAATGAAGGCCAATAAAGGTCGCATTAGAATAACATAAGTTGTGAGGGTTACTCAAATATAGCTGAATTGGCTGCAGTGTGCTCTCTGGGCCTGTGCGGGTCCCTTGGATTGGGAGGAGGCATCCTTCTCCTTGTCCCTGTCCACCCATGCTGTTGCCGCAAGGAGCTTGCTCGCTGTTTGCTCCAGCGACAACGCAAGGAGCTGCCGTTTCAATCTCATCTGGCGCATTCGGAGGCCAATAAGATGCAGCAGGAAGGGATCCGAAAGCTCCAAGAGGGCCTGGTGGAGCTCGCCTGCTTGGCTTCCCTGTTAGAGAGATGCAGGATGTACATGAGGATCTCGGATTTGTACTCCTGCGCCATTGGACGCGTTGAGTGGAATTTGTGGGTCAAGTCCGGCATTCCGCTCAGCTTGCAGATCTTGTCCAACAATTCCACGGGGGATCTCAGGAGCTTAGACTATAGCTCATATCACCATTCCAGTTCTCCCCGTACTTGACCTGTCGTCAGAATTCTCTGACCTTCCAGGTGTTCCTGATGTGCTGCCAGAACAGCGCAGTGGAAACAAACCACTGAAGCTTTTACCCGGCGTCGAGACCAAAACTACAACCCTAATGTAGACTCCCAAACAACTACCAATACTGTTCGTTAACATACGTTATAGAAGAACCCCTATTCATTTTATTCAGGTTCCTTTTCTACATTGTGTCCTAAGAACCCACGTTTGGAGCCCTCTGGCTGAGGAACTCGTCCTTAGCCTTCGTTGCGTCGATCTTCTTTGCAATGCACATGCGCCTCGGGCTTTTCATGTAAAACTGGACCAAAACTGTACCTAGTGGTTGGTTACTAGGGGTGGAACATCAGGAGAGGCACGTGGAAGTTTGTCAATCTAATTTGCCTTATCTTCGGAACCATGATCTTATGTATTTGAAGGATCCGGAAGGATACGATGCCTCGAGAACACTCTGACTTTTCGTCACCAAGAAGCCCGAATGGATTTTGTGATGCCACAGCTCCATTGTCCTGGTTTGCTCTGAGCGCACTTTACTAGATTTTCTCCTTCAAGTTGCAAAAGCAATAAAAGTGGAATATGAGGGGAAGAAGTCGTGCCCTTATTCTTAGTAAGGATTTAGGGTTCAAGGGCTTCCATCGATCAGCGCATACAAGCCCTAGATATCCTTCACCTTGCTGGCGTAGATTAAGTTGCTCCTAAGGCAATCTTTAAATTGAAATCATAAGGAAACCTCATTACTTAGTATATGCCCTTAATATGGTAGCTTGAATTCAGTTCCTGTGAGGTGGGATGGTGGGTTTCTCAGGTACTTCCAGCCGTACGACAACCGGAGCTACTTCATATTGGCCGCTCAGCCTTACATCAAAGACTGGAAATGGGCTTAGGGTATGGGTTTAGGGTGGGTCATTCCCCCTTACAGCAACAGCTACCATAATGGATACTAGCACCTCTACTAGCCCCTTGATAAAGCACCCCTTAAGGACAGTTGCTGGAAGGGGAAGTGACCCACAGTTTAGGTCTAGTCTCGGTGCGTCAGCATGATATAAGCTGCGTATACGCAAAAACTTACATGTGCGCAAGGGCCTCAAATCAGGCATTCAAGGGTTCCAGGGTTGTTTCCCCAAGGCCGTACAAAAAAAACGGTTCCGCTACTATGGCCCCAACATAGGCCTTGTATGAACGATGTAGTAGTACTAGTGGTGGTAGGGGTAGGAGTAGCAGCAGGAGGAGTAGTAGCAGTGGGGTCTCAACAATGCGTTTCGCAATGCAAGACACTACACAAGACCTGGTGCTGCACAGCGTTTGGGATCCATGTCTCTGCAGCTCATGCAGGACGTATGCACTTGAAGTGAGTCCATCACAGACGGAGCGAATCACTTCATAGGTTTTGGCTGTATACATTAGGAGCGTGAGCGAACATTTGCGACAACGGGCGGAGCAATGTTTTTAGCTGTAGGTTGACTGCAAATCTAGGATGCCTTGCGGAGACCTAGCACAGAACTTCACACCTCATCAGGTTGTGTAATGTTGGCTCATAAGATATGGGTATGGTCTATTAGCAAGCTGTGCATTTTATGGTGCTCGCGAAATCGTGCGAGAGGGTACGCGAAAGAGCCCAGTTTTGGACAAGGAATATTGAACAGCGCCCATTCAGCTCCTAGACTCCTAGACCTTATGGTGCTCCTCATGACAGGAACCTCATCAACCCCGAAAATCCCCTATAGGGGGTTGGGAATCTTGGCTCAAGGAGCGAAGCAAAGCCCAGGAACAACCCAAGCTGCAAAGCTTGGACGTAACTATCATACCTTATATAGTCTAGACTAGGGTTCCTAGAGAGAACCCGCAAAAGCCTCATTTAAAGGTAGTTGTAGAATTTACCGCCTTTCTTTAGATGCAGCACGTGCTGGCAATGTTTGGCGTCCCAAGACAGCTATTTATTACCCAGGTGTTGGAGGGGTTCCTCTCGATTGCAGATGTAGTGAAGTTGGCACAAGTGTCTCAAGCATTGCGGGAAGTGCAGAAACCTTACGGCCTAGTGCTGACCTTCGCATGTGCTTGGAATGAGTTTGGTTCAGATAGAACCTGCATCAGAGATTGGCTCCCAGTTTATGGGTCCTTTCTGTCTTACGCTAAGCGTTGTGGCTTAGATGAAGGCTTTTTGGATCAACGGATCTCCTACAAGCACACGCTCTTCGATGACATGGCGGACAAGTTCTTGCAGCCACTTCCATGGGCATTCAAGCCCATGTCTCTTGAGCCATTCATCAACTTCTTGTGGCTACAGCTCGTGGCCGAGCCCGCGCACTTTAGCATTTCCTCTGGCACCTTCGTAGAAGTGATTGGGAGCCCGGGCAAGTCCACGGAGATCGGGCAGCCTGCAGCAATAATTGCTTTGGATGCCACATACTGTGAAAGTGGACCAAACGATGAGCATTTTAACTTGGCGGCCTTGGTGATGCTGGACGACCGCAACGTGGCCTTGATAATGGCATGGGCGCATGAAATCCAGGAGAATGAGTGTTTTTTTGGCTTCGTGCTTGTTAGCCGTGAGCTAACCGACTTGCTAGATTACGCGACATCCATGTTCCAATCGCCTGCTTGGAGCTATAAAGAAGACAGGCTCCAGTGGTTCGGCTTCGGCATATCAATTCCATATTCCTTCGAGGAGGAGTCTCCGCTCTTGGGGACACATGAAGGACTGGAATCTGGCCTTAGATCAGGTATCTTCTTAGACTTGTCAGACTTCGTGGAGCACATGCGAGCCTTGCACCCAGGGTATGTGCCAAATCACAGAGGCTTGAATCCAATGTCTTGGCATGCACAACGTGCTGCATCGGAACCTTCCAGCTAGCACATGTCATCTTCCGTTCTGTGAAGACTGGTTTCCAAGTCTTTGCCTGGACGGGGGCTACAGACTCGACCTGGCTACAAGAACAGCTTACTTCGGAGATTACAGTCCTCATTGGTCAGTACGAGAATCAGGGGCTGGGAAAGGTCCACGTACAGGGGGATCTAGCGAAGGCTTATCTGTAACAGTGCTCAGAAGAGGTCCTGATAGTAATACAACGATCGGCTAGCCTGGTTGAAAATTTTGAATCCATCTAATGTGACCTTGGCGAGGTAGAAAGGAGTCCTAGTTCCAAAGCGGTAGGGTACAAGTCGGCCTTCCCGGATCAACTGCGAAAACACGCCCTGCATTCCTAAATCTGCACGGAATGGTTGTTTGGAAGGACGACTCTGTATGCGCCTGCTTAGCTGCCTAAGGAGCCCACATGCGTAACTGTAGTCATCAGGCACCCTTGATAGGGAAGCACTTATGGCCCTATGGCGACAAACCTTCTTCGTTGAAAGTTCAAGACCCTTAGCCCGTGACTCTATGGCCCAAGCCTCTCATTCCCCAAGTCTTCTTTCTCAAGACCTAAAGTAGTACTGTAGACGACCCTGAACCCTATTCCGTACAATCTAGGGGTACAACCCTGAAATCCCTGAGACATTGGGTCCCCCTATGCACGGAAAAACGGAAAGGTCAGACTCTGGACCTCCCTACAGTCATGGGTTCCCCTACTACCCACACTAGGTTCCCCCCTTATTTCGGATTACTTTGGGATGGTATTCAACGTTAATTAAGGGGGAGCCATGATACTGATTGAAGCAGGCAAGCTTTTGTTGGGATCCATTCTGAGGAGCAGGGTTTTAGGTATGTTGCCTCTTCGGCATATGATTTTCTCAAGAGGGATAGTGCAGTTTTGAAATTGCCGGTTTCGTCTCCACCCTGAACTCTGCATCCAAAACCCTCTGCAAGCCTGGTTACGGCGCCCTATGACCTCATTCCTTACTATACCGGCCGGAAGAATTACCCGTAGTATGGTCCTAGTTTCCTTGTATAAGCATGGTATAGTATAGGGTACCTCAAAAAGACTTGAAGTTCAGATGGTAGTTTCCCAGAAACAGGGGGACCCCAATCTAGACCACAAAATAGTATAGTCCGTATTATAGACCCCGAAGCGGTACCCCTAATTTTGGGAAAGCCCCATATTGGTATTCATTTAGACCTTTACGTTATACCTTAAACCGCACCCCAGAGCCGCTGCCCCGAACTCCAAGCTCGAACCAGCGGATCCAGATTATTATGTCCTGAAGCAACCTGCCAAAACTCAGGGCCATCAACCCCAAACCCTAAACCCGAAACTCCAAACCCCAGACCTCAAACCCTTTACCTCAAACCCTTTACCTCAAACCCTACACCCCCAAACCCTGCCTACCGCCAAGTCAGGACCGGATTGAAACTGCCTCTTTACGGGCCATTCTGGTCACTGCCTTCCTTCAGCTTTGGTGCATCATCACGATGCCTGGATGCGGTTTGGGGTTTAGGTGTAGGGTTTAGGGTTTGAGGTTTGAGGTTTTAGGGTTGTAGGGTTGAGGGTTTAAGGTTTATGGTTTAGAGACGGGTCAAATGCTGGATTCAGGCTTAAACTTTAGGGCTGTGCTTATATCTGGGAGAGTCAGGCCCTGGCAGTTGGCAGACAAAGTAGATGGGGGTTTCCAAAATTAGGGTTCCTATTTTTGGGCGTTCCTCTGGTAAGGATTCTAGTATTTGAGGCTTTATGAGGGGTCCGTCTATTTGTGGAAACTCCATCTCTCCCAACTTCACGGAGTTCGCAGAACGCAGTGGCAGAAGGCGTGCATTTGATGTCGGTATTCCATCAAGCCCTGAACTCTTAGTCTGAATCTCCCAAAGCTCCAAACCTTGAATTTCGGTTGGGGTTTGGGCGGTTCAGGGCCCTTTGAGGCCTTAAGTTGTATATCCCAAATCCCTAAATCCCAAAACCCTCATCCCTAATCCCTAAACCCTATTCCCTAAACCCAATTCCCCAATCCCTAAGCCCTCATCCCCAAGGGTATGTGGGAGACTTGAAAGGGGTCCCATGAGTTTCGGAAATCTGAAGCTCTGAGAGTCTGAGCCTTAAATCGAAGGGCCCAAGCACTAGAACTTGAATTCTGCAGTCCCGCCCAGCCTTGAGTAGAACTTTAGAGTTCAGGGCTCAGGGTCTAGGGTATAGGGCACAAGGTTTAGGCTTCAGGGTATAGGGTTTAGGGCTTAAAACGGTGTAGTCCCCCTTAAAGATCTTGGACTAGATAGAATATGGGGTATATGGGGATATGGTAGTTTCCGAAAATAGGGGGACCCCAATATAGACCCCCAAATACTAGAGTCCTTATTATAGGGACCCCTAAAAAGGTACCCCTTATTTTGGGAAACCCCCATATTAGTACGATATTGGGCAACTCCATCTTCTACCTACTTAAGGGGGACCATAGCCCTATGAAACCCTAAGCTATATACCCTGAACCCTGAACCCTACACAATATCGTAGATTGCATTTTCTTTTCCGCTCCCTACATGCTCTTTATAACCCCATGAGACCCTAAGTAATGTAGCAGTTTCCATTTTCTTTTCCACCCCCCTGCATAAACCCTAAGGGGACCCCCAAACCCTAAACCCCTGCTTGAGGAACGATGCAGATGTTGCTATTGGCAACCCAAGCTTCGTGCCGATTCGCAACGTGGTTTGCTTGGAGCTCAGAGATTTTCTCGAGCTTTACGATTTGTGTCCTTGCTTCCGTATTAAAATGTCCCGTCTATGAATGTCAGGTTTACATAACGTTAAGGCTTGCATTGTGGAACCCTAAGCCCTAGACAATTAGCTTAGTGTTTGGAGTGCATCGAGAAGTTTCTGAAATAACACAGAGGTTGGCATCCTGGAACATACCACATACGGAATAAGGGCCTTGTAGCTTCCCCAACCTCTATAATGAGAAACTTGTAACTATCAGATGACTATAATATAGGGTCCTTTGATTAGGGTTGGGGCAACTAGAATCCCCTTATCAGCGCAGGCAGTTCCAGTCCCAAAGTGGGAGGGACTGGCAGCTTGACATAAAGGGCATGTCTGTGCGCCTCGATCCCTAGACCCTACTGTAGTGGCCTAAAAAACCAATACTATGCTTATGGGTTCCTTGTATAGATGTGATATACATAGGGTAACTGAATAGAGTCCAGAATGATATCGGTGATCATTTAGGCCCTCCAGTCAGGATTTTACAGCCTCTAATGACTTGGTTGCTCTTAAGGGATTTCAATCAAGTTACCACAATATGGGATTATCTAGTAAACAGAAAGGCTTCCTTTATATAACAAATGGGTTAAACCTAAGAATATATAGTAACTAGTAAGGTTTCCTTTATATAGTAGCTCAGTGTTAAATGTATATACATATAGTGTCAACAACAAGGCTTCCTTGATGATATGGTAACTTCACTTAAGTTCCTTGACAACAACCCAGATGATGCAAGCGTCTTTCTGAGACATCCAGACAGAGACCCCAGATGCTGAGACAGCGGTAGATTGTAAGTTGAGGTGTAGTCTAATCTTCTTCCAGTGGCTTCTATAGGGAATTATATATTGGACTATTATAGAGGTTATTACCCTAAACCCTAAACCCTAAAAAAAGGGAATGCTAGGAGTTTAGACAATAAGTCACTTGAGGTGTATTAATCCTTGTTGGGCCCTGGGAGGATCTGATGGACCCACACCACGCTTCCCGCAGCGAGCATAATGTAGACCAGGTGAGTAGTATTTTATTTGGGGATACTATGGTACCCATTATAGAGTAAGATTATATCCTCCTCTTGGGTATAGTATTTTATATAAGAATATTATCTTACTAGGTTCAACCACCAAAAAAAGCACTACTCAGGTGTAACAGGGCCGTAGAATCCTGCGGGCCTTTGAGGTTCCATGTTTCTTCATGGCGGTAAGATAGCTGGTGCATGCCCCAGGTCATACAGGTTTGTCCTTCGTAAGGTATGCGCCTTCATAATAGCCAGCATTGTTCCGTTCTACTTAATCCTTTGCAATTATAGTATACCATATCCCGAAAACGTATTTAGCTGAATTATGGGCCCTTTTGGGGACCGCAGGCAGGTTTCCTTGGAGAAGATGCAGCCATGTCGTGTGTTCAACAGAGGTTCACGCGGGCTGTGAATGGCCAGAGTGAGTTTTGTTGTGCCACGCTATTGCTTGGCAAGGAAAGGGTTTAAGGGTCAGGATTTGGGATTTAGGGTTTAGGCTTTAGTGTTTGGGGTCTAGGGTTTAGGTAAGTTGTCAGCAGATGCTATCCAAGAGTCTTGTATAGCTACCATGCCAGTTTACGCGAGTGTTTCTAAATGACTTATAAGTTTCCAAGTGGGTGAGCAGCTTGAATTGTTTGGCGCTGCTACCGTGGACCCCTCCCCTCCGACATGCACCCAAACTAATAAACCACACGCCCTGAACCCTAAGCCCTAAACCCTGAACCCTGAACCCTAAACCCTGAACCCCAAAAAGTTTTAAGAAGCCCTAAGAGTTTCCGATATTCTCTGACAAAGCCTTGTATAGTGTGTCGGGGCCCATGTACTGTGGTGGCCACAGTAGCCGCATGATAGCTGCATCAAAATGCCTTTAGTCCTAAACCCGAAACCCAAGGATCCGCGTTTAAGAGCCTCAATAGACAGCTCCGTGGATCCCCGGCGCTGAGCCCAAATCCTAAAGCAGGGGTAGTAGAAGATAAAGGAGACTTGATACTGAAGATCTTCCATCATCTTGCTACCCCAAAAAACTTCGAAAGTGTGCCACTTTGGTCTCATACGGTCATGGAGGATTTGTAGTAGCAACGGTAGCTCCTAGCCTTGCGCGAATTTGTCCAAGCTACCTCAGCCTGGCATTTCTCAAGTGACAGCTACGCAGGCACCATTATCATCTTGTTCATGCACTTGCGATTCTTCTGGCTGCTTGGCGCTGAATCCAGTCTGT